ATTCAGCTTTCATGCTGGTGCGTGAAATTTTTAACTGTTTCCCAATGTTTGAACTATTTTTGCATAGACTAAAGTACAAATCAGTGAAAATCATTAACAGGCAATCGCTCGATGGGCTGAATTGCACAAGACGCATGATCGCACCGGCTAGTCTGGTGCGCGTTGCCATTTATGTACTGTGTAACAGCAGTACAAAAATTATATTGTCACGGCGTTGTCTATGTGTGCGTCCCACATCTTGTCCCGCACTTTCACCTCGAGAACCACAAAATCTAGGCGGCTGAAATTTTAGTACATTGTTCCCCGCCAGCGGGTGACGCGGCAAATTTAAATTCAGTCTTCCCGTACCCATGGGTAACACGTACGGCCCTGTAAAGTTTTTCGGGTAAAAGCAGTACCTCGGGAACCACGGAAGCTAAAAGGCTGAAATTTTGTGGGCATGTCTCCCGTCCTTGTGCTGCCCAGAAAATTTAAATTCAGCAAGTAACATGTACGGCCCCGTGAAAATTTTTGACGGGTAAATTATTATCTCGGGAACAAAAGGGGTCTAGGAAACTGAAATTTTGGGGTTGTGACCCCCTGCCCACGAACGATCTTGCAAATTCAAACTTAGCGTTCCCGCGCTCTTGGGTATCACCTAGGGGCCAGTGAAAATTTTTGCGGGTAAATTATTATCTCGGGAACCACAAAGTCTACGAAGCTGAAATTTTACGGTAATGACTCCTTGCCAATGTGCGATCTTGCAAATTCAAATTCAGCGTTTCAGCACTCTCGAGTATCACTTACGGCCTCATGGAAATTTTGGCGGGTAAGCTATTATCTCGGGAATCACGGAACGATATTCACTCTTCAAGGTTTCAAATTCAGTTTTCTTGCGCCGGTGCGTGAAATTTTTGAATGTTTTTCAACGTTTCAACTATTTTTGCACAGACCAAAGTACAAAGCAGTGAAAATCATTAACAGGCAATCGTTCGGTGGGCGGAATTGCACAAAACGCATGATTGCGTCGGCTAGTCTGGTGCGCGTTGCTATTTATTACATTCTGTTTAAATAAATATGTCGTAATCGGCAAATTGCATCCCCGAACTTATTTTTCTTTGAGTTTTTAAACAGTGAAGCAACTCAGAGATGATTTCAGCGCTTGTCTGCCTTCATCAATGTCCATTTGTCTGTATTATGCCCTTTTCTCACTACGTCTTGTCCGCTAACTAAAGCTTGTGTTTATTTTCACTCTGCGCACGATGTTTTTTCCTGTTACTTCGGCACGATAGCACATCTGTTCTAGTAGAAATGTGGCACTGAGACATACGAAGTCCACGTGTCACGCTAGTGCTGTTATTATGATAGCCTCAAACTTTAGCTTTGCGATCCCAACATTTCTCCCATTATTCTACTTTGTGCTTGTTACTGTCAAGGAATAAAGGAAATAAAAAAGTGCGGTAGAAAAATGAAAAGTTTTGAAAGCTATACTTCTTTTTTCGCCGGCAGCGATGAGCGTGACGGAACGATCGAACGTATTGACAAGCCACTTTAGCACCACTCCACCCAAATACCTGCACAAACAAATATCCAAGAAAAAGAAGGAAAATCCATGATAAGAATGCTCAAAATCACCTACACAGTTAAAATCAACAAACCCTTCACTTCTTTACTAACTTCTACACAAGTTATTACGGCCAACAATGTTGCTCAGATCACGATATCCGCTGCATGTAACGCGCAGAAATCACCCATCTCAAAGCTTCCGTTAGAGCTACTTTGTTGATTTTCCTTACAGCAGAATTGCTCTAGAGCAACCCCGACACTAGTGAAGGAAAAAACTGGAAGAAACTTAGCAAATCAAAACTGTAATATCCCGAAGCCCCAGGAAAGAAGTATTATATGCAAATATTAGTCATAAGTGTTAACTAGCTGTATTATTATATCACCTGAAAATACAGCAGCACATAGCATAATGGGGCTTCACTGACTGCAATCTACGCCCTGTACGGTCTTGTCTGAAAGAAATGCAAAAAAAAAACGAACCAATAAACGTATGGATACTCAAATGGAGCAAAAAGATCCAAGTAGAATGACAGATAAAAATGATATCTGATGAGCGACAATGTATGCAACAGGACGAATGAGGTTAAAGAGAGGCTTGCTGATGACTCCTGTCCATTGTAGTACAGGTCAAACGTTGCCTCTGCACGTTCAGCCTGAAATGTAACAAAATATACACATACTTTGATCAGGCGCAATTCACAGCTGACTTTCAAATTGTGCGGCTAGTAGCTTTTCAAGTCGATTTTACCAATGCGACATCGTTTGCTGGTCAGCCTTCTGGCAATCCTGATGTGGTTTTTTCTTCAAACAAAACATATGCAGTGGGAAGAAAGCGTTAAACAAACGGACCTCAGTGTGTAGCGCCGAAAAATCCTCGATGCAATTAATAATTTTTTCACGTTGCCTTGCTAGATTCTGTCCAAACATCTGAATTACGCTGAGGAAAACTTTCACGGAATCATTCACAAATTCATTCCAGCAAGTACGACACTGTTCATCCGTTAAAGCGGTACTGCTGCAACAGTATTTACATAGCCGGAGAACAAAATAAATAAATGTTAATCCAGAAACACTAAATGAAGCAAGTAGTATGTAACAAGCCATCCGGCTTGAACTATGTGTTTATGCCACTGTTGTCACGGTCACGGAACAGATTACAAAAATGAGCTGCAATGACCAAATTCTCAGTCCTTCTGAAAACAACAGAAAACTGCGCTCGCCAAAGCTGGTTGCTCCAAACCGCACTTTTCCAGCAACTAAATGGGCCTACAGATACTTTCAGAAAATCACGCTTAAAAAATATCGAAAAACAATAACCAGAAGCGTCCGACAGAAAAATTATAAAGTGCTAGCGCAGGATGAACTACAGAAACAGCAACGTAGGAAATTTTTCAAAAGTACATAAGTAATGAAAAAAGCTGAAGAGTGAACGCATCTTGCAACTACAACAAATTCTAAAATGCGTGATGAGACAACAAACAGTACTATATGCATCACGCACAAAAAAAGTGAAATAGGAAACCAAAAGGCAAAGCGCCGAACTCAAGTCTGCAGTAGCTATAAAATTTCCAGTAATTTAGGGGGCCATCAAGCAAGATGCGGGTGTTTACGACAAGGCATTAAGAAATGGCCTAGCACCGTCCCAGCAAACAATATGAAATTAATCAGCAGCTGAACTCTCTACGAAAGGATGCATAGCAATTATCGCACTGAAGCGAGTGTTTAGTGGTAAGATCATGCACTGAAAGGAGCTCAGACGGTCGACCAAAACTAAAAAAGGAAAAAGAGACAAAATGACTAAGTTCTGCAGTAAAATATCATAAAATAATTGGCCAACGTATGGGCTGCCCGTACGAAGATGCGTTTTTTGCATAGTTTCCCGCAGCTTTTGTAGCTACCGCCTTCGGTTTTTTCGGCAAATGTTTCTAGCTGAATAAGTTAAGACTGGCAGCCAGAAATGCCAGGAAACACCCTTAAAATTTCAGCTTTCTAGCTTTCTTGGCTCCTGACTTATCACCCACTTGGACGGGGAACATCCCCCTAAGATTTCAACATTCTAGCTTCTCAGATCCCCGAGTTATAAACTTGCCCTAGAAGAATTTTGGCGGGCCCGTACGCGGGTACTACGCTTACCCGGGGGATGGGTTCGAGTGCATTAATATCCAGCTGGACGGGGAACGTCCCCCTAAGATTTCAGCGTTCTAGCCTCTCAGACCCTCGAGTTATGAACTTATGCGAAAAAAATTTTGGCGGGCCTGTGCGCGGGTACCACGCGGGTGATGGCGCCAATTTTGGGGATTGGGGCTGGCACGTGCATGCAGATTAAGTTCCCAAAATTTCAGCCCTACAGCTTTTATAGGTCTTGAGAAGAAAGTGCGTGACAAACGCACACACAGACACACGGACACACAAACAACCCATCGTCAATATGTGTTTCTGCATTGCACAGCTGCAAAAAAATGCATAAGAAGCATACCCAAATCTATTCAACTAAACTAAGCAGCAAGAAAAAAATCATTATGAAAGTTGGTCGTATACTTTCAAAAAAAGCAAACTACAGAATCGGCCGAAGAAAACGTACGTCGGATCGAGGATAGCAGGTGCCGCAAAAAGACGAATAGATTCAATAATAACAGATGATAACGGGGTGCGACCCATAAGGCGATCGTCCCTGGGAAAAAGAACCAACTGCAACAGCGACCGCGACAACACACAGCTATCCGTCAAACTGTACGTGCGCAAAAAATCCTAAAACACCACACTGTACTCTAAAACTTAAGCAGTACTGTACGAAACTGACTGTAAACAAGATAGTTTCTTTCGCAAAAATTATCACTGTGAAGTTCCTTCGGAACTGTCTCGGCACACTGCATCAAACACGACACTGAGAGTGCCTGGTATCACAAACTTGCTCATCCTACCAACTGCTCCCTCTGTATTTGCTGTAAATGCCCTGGCAGAAAACTCGAATCCGGCAGAACCC